GGAGCACACGGAATGGAGCATTCAGAGTGGAGCACACAGACTAGAACACACAGAGTGGAGCACTCAGAGTGGAGCTCCCAGAGTGGAGCACTCAGACTAAAACACACAGAGTGGAGCACTTGGAGTGGAGCACACAGAAGCACAGGAGGGTCTTCCATCCCTTTCGTGTAGGTACTTCAACCTTTGATGTAAGCTTACTCTCCAGTTCTAGAATGAACATTGAGCCAGGCTTCTGCAAGTAGCCTGATCTCACAAAGGGCTGAAAGAGAGAAACAGACTCAGGCCGAGAGAGAGAAGGGCAGATTTTGCTCAAACATTTCAACTTGGCTCTGCGGTCTGCACCTCGAGCTGGAATCCAGCAGATCTCACAGCCCACGTTCGCAGCTATGTTCACAGTGCTGCGAGGTCCTTTCAGCTGAACGAACTAGTGACACGTGAAATCTAATTAAAGGGCAATTTATACATTTGCAGCTTTTCACATTCTGTGCGAACAATGATCGTCCACAAGCCACACAGTTAACTACAGTTTGCATTAAAGTCCCCCCCACTTGGGGGACATGTGACTAATTATTGTAATCACTTCCGTTAATATGCATGCCTAGCCTTTTGTGTCATGCAAATGTGACACCAAGCCAGCATGAGGAAGTTACCGGAAATCACTGACAGACAAAGACAAGCCATTGTGAGCACATTTAATTTTGAGCATAAAGACCCTCAACTTTTGAGACTGTGCTGTGCCCCCAAAGTCTGCGGGCCGCTTTCCTTGGAAAGGCTCAGAGCAATCGCTAGGAGGTTTGTTCTAGAAACCGAGGCTCTGGTGGGCACAGGGCTGGAAGGCTGTGAACAGCTCCCCTGGCCAAGACTTCTGCAACAACGGTGTGTTTATGTGGTCCCTGCAGGACTTCTCGTTCTTCCTCCAAGAAGCTATTTTATCCTATCTTTTCCCCTCGTGTGAAAATTTTCCCCCCACAGTAAAAACTATCTTTCATTACTTTGAGTTAGGTGCAATGTGAGGCATTATGTGAGCTGTCTTCCCTCCAGCAGGAAAACACCATTATTATCCCCATTTTTCAGATAATAAAAATAGAATATGGTAAAATAAAACGTGGAAAGGAAAAGCTGGGGGATTTAATGCAATATTTGTCTCTAGTTCAGATACACAATTGTTGCCCTGTCTTCCTGTTTTGTTTTGTTTTTTTCTTTTCCTTGTAATTCTTCTTAAACCCAGGCAGAGGTTTTCAGCAGCCAGAGGGGCTTTCAGCTCTGCTATCTGAGGTGGGTTTATTTTGCTTGGGTTTAAAGTTTGGTGCCCCTGGCTCAATACCTGAGGTTGTAGAGTCCAAGAATGGGGGGGAGGGGCGCCACACTCTGTGTCCAAATCCTATTCCTGGTGATTCTCCCAATGTGGAGGACATTCAGGATGGCATGCCAGGCCTTCTAATGGTCATTTCTCTGTCTTTGGAAGGCGGAAACATCCTGGCTTCTGTTGACACTGCTGCCACACTGAGCCGTCTGCCAGGTCTCCACTTACTGGCTGGCCATATTGAGCCAGCCTGGAGCGTATCCTGTAAAGCGACGATCGGTAGAAGGCTAGAAGGCGACTTGGGCCATTCCACGGCCTTGCGCTTCTCTCAAAACTTCAGTCATTTACAAGTCAGACCGGATTCCTGAAATGACTTTCGAAGAAAGTGTTTAGTGAGAGTCAGAAATCACACACTTCCTGGAGGAGACCCTCCTCTGCATGCTTGGTGCCGGGTGGGACAAGGGCTGCCTCTTCGGGTTTTCACACAGAACCTAGAACCTCTGGAGAGTGTACCAGCCACATTCGCCTGCATCCCTAAGGCCTGGTCAGCAGCCCTGTAAAGTCCCTGAGCAGAGTGTGCTCACTTTCTGTTCTGGCCTAGTGCAGTTGTCTGCCTGGTTTGCATCTCTGCCATCTCAGCTGTGGCCCTTCCTGCTGACTGATCTCTTGGTTGCTGTTTGTTTTGCTGTGAATAATTAGATCCATCTTGCTGCCTCTGTGGGTGGAGTATCTGGTGTCAGAACATACACAGCCCAGGTGTTAGGGTTGAAGTAAAAATGCTGCAGGTCCCCGAGTGGCTGCAGCAGGCAGCGGGCAGCGGGCCATGAGACCACCACGCGGCTCCCTGCCTGGGACTCACTGCCCCTCGTGGCCCACTGCAGTCATTTGGGGAACTGCCTGGGACTGGCTTCTCGGGACCTGCTGCCCGCTGCCTGTCGCCACTTCGGGTACCTGCGGCATTGTCTCATGGCCCGCTGCCCACTGCAGCCACTTGGGGATCCAACAGCATTTTACTTTTACCTTTACACCAGGCCACTGCAGTCCATATCAGGGCAGGACAGAGATGGTGCGGGAGCTTTTGTGACTCAAAGTGGGATATAGGACAAAAAAATACATAACTGAAAACTTAGGGGGGGTCTCATCTGGGGTACCACATGTTAGCAGAGGAATTGGGTTTCCTTGTTAGAGTTCTTAGTCTGTTAGTAAAAAAAATTTAAGAATGGACTCACGGGGGAGACTTGAGGGCAACTTTATTTCAGTTTCAAAGCAAAACCAAAGGGCAGACCATCTGTGAGAACGGAGAAGAGAGAGCAGACCGAAGCACAAGCAGCCGCGGTGAAGGAGCTGCACACGGGCTACCTCCTCAGAAAAAGAGGGAGCTCCCAGTGTTTGGACAAGCATATCCAATCTTTGGCAAATATCCAACATAATGAAAAAGAGATTAAGGAGAAAAAGCAAAAGTCATGCTTTTCTGAGTGAATTAGAAAAGTGATCAGGTTTAAGCTATGCCCGCATGGCTGTAACTCCATGGACCACTGCACAGAGAACAGGGATTCTAGAAAGAAAGTAGGCGACCTCATTAAGGGAGTGATTAGTCCTCCCTTCTCTTTAGCAGGATTTAGGGTGAATCCCTCTTCCTGAGGAGAGGTCCCTTGACCAGGTGATTGACTTGCTGGACTGGATTAACTCCAGAGATGACTACAGTACACACGTCCATCCAGAGGCAGACTCTACTCTTTCCTCTAAAGGCCGTTGATGATTGCCTTTCTCTTCAACTCCTGTGTCTTTAAGCCTGAGGCCCAGCTTCTCTGTTTAAGAGACTTGAGTCTAGGTGAACTTACAAGGTCTAGGGAAGAGAGAGCAAAACATATTCCCTTCAGAACAGGAAGGGAGGCTCAATGAAGGCTGGCTTCCTGGAGGGACTTGTCACCTCAGTCAGGGCAGCTTCTAAAAGGTGGCCAGGCCAAATGGAGTCCAGCTGACTCTCTGACGAACCAGGCACTCCTGGTCCTAGGCCCAGCCCGCTGCTGGAAACAGGGTGTGTGATCACACACACACACACACACACACACGCACGCACGCACGCACGCACACGCACGCACGCATGCACCACACCACTCACAACTTCTTCCTTCCTTCTTTCCTTCCTTCCTTCTTTCTTTCTTTCTTTCTTTCTTTCTTTCTTTCTTTCTTTCGTTCGTTCGTTCTTTCTTTCTTTCTGAGACAGGGTTTCTCTGTAGTTTTGGAGCCTGTTCTAGAACTAGCTCTTGTAGACCAGGTTGGCCTCAAACTCACAGAGATCTGCCTGCCTCTGCCTCCTGAGTGCTGGGATTAAAGGAGTGCACTACCACTGCTTGGCTTTACACACAATTTCTTTTTATTATTTTGTCCCTTGGCCATTTTGTTCCTTTTAAAAAAGAAGTTTCTTATTTAAAAAAGAGTTGAACTTTTCTTTTTTTTCTCTTCTTTCCTTTTTCTTTTTTTAAAGGGTTGGTACACACACTGAATTATAAAACTAGTATTCTCATCTTTTGGAATATATATGTTTTTTGGAATACACACACACACACACACACACACACACACAGCAAATGACATTGGTACAGGTGGGAACAGCTCGAGGTAACACTGCTGCGAAACCCTCATAAGTCTTTGGTTTTTTGGGGTGGGCAAACATGCACGTCTTAAATCAGTGTATGAAAAGCTGACATCCGGGGATCTTGTTTCCCAAATATGTCTGAAATCTGTCATATCTGCCTTCTCTGGGACAATACAGAAGTGGTTCCCGGCCCTGCATCGCTATCCGTTTCCAGATAAAGGTTATCTGATTATAGTCAATATAGAATTTTCAAATTTCGAAACATTTTATTACTACAATAATGGCTATTACCGTTTCTTACAGACATCCTATCAGAAGGTTTAAAAAATGTATGCTTTGGTTCGTGGGGGAGGAAAAAAAAAGGTCAAAACTTTTAAAATGTCACTACTTCTGCAGTTTTTGCATAGAAAATACACCGGACCAGTGGGAGGCCTCCCTGCCCATAGAAACGGCGGCAGCAAAGAATGTCTCCCCGCAGCTGAGTTTCCACTTTCGCCGCAGCTGCGGGCTGCGTAGAAAAGCACGGTGGGAGCCCATTGTTGCCCAGCTGGGTAACAGTTTTCTTATTTTTACAGTCAGCATCCGAGGGGGGTTGGGTGTCTCCTAAAGTGCCTGAAAAATAATCTATCTGCTGCAAATAGACCGCATTCTCCCTCCTCCTGGAGGAGCGGGAAATCTATAAATTGCGTCCTTCATTTGGACCTAGCCGTGTAATTAAACATGGCAAGCAGAAGCCACCCCAAACGCGGGCCGCAGATTCCGCGTGCTTTCCTAACCGACCTGGGATTTCGGGAACGGCGCTTGCAGGGGCCCCCCCAGAGATTGTGGCAACAATTGCGTTCTCGTCTACCGTCAGCCAACTGTTCCCTACTTGAAGGTCACCTGCCATAAGGCTGAAGAACGACAAACTAAAAATTTAATTTCAAGGGTTTGCAGCAGGCAGCGTCCCAGGCAGCGGTTCTCCCGGGCATCTGAATCCAGCCATTGTTTCCTGTGCCAGTTTGTGAGTTTGTACAAATCCGTGGTCGGTGATGCGGCGTGCCCAGGGCTCAGGAGAGCGCGCGCACACGCGCCCCTGGCCTCTGACTTGTTTTCTTTTGTTGTTTTGTTTTGAACTGTGAATGGTCTCTGAGGTTTTGGTTGCCGTGGAAACTCACTTTTTAAAGGTGAAGAGTCACAGACCTTTGGCCACTCTCTGGCAGGTGAAGCAGTGGCGTCTTCATGTGACTCTAATCTCCAGGCTGGATGGCGCAAGGGGGATGGCCGCACTCTGTAAAACCCGTCTGTTTGTAAACCAGCCAGGTGTAGAGACCAAAGGAAGTTGTGCTGGCGTCTTACCCTCCTTGGAGGTGGCCTGACCGGGAGATGCTTGTTGGGAATCTGGAAGTGGATCCCTTGGGACACTAGTGGTGAGCAACCCAGGGTGCGCTGGCAGGTATGAGACTCCTTAGCCAGGAGACCCATCTGGGGAGGTTCTTCTCATTATAGGGAGTAGACATGGCCTGGATGCAGTTTACTTAGTGCTTGCCTCACTTGCAGGAGGCCCCGGATTCCACCCTGTGCACGGAGAAAGCAAGTGGCTAAACAGTTGGCCTAGTCTCCTCAGGACGAAGAGCAGGACCCTGGACTCATCTTCAGAGAGCTGCCTCCAAAGCCCCTAGCTGGGAACACTCCAAGTGTGGACAGAACAGCGGCTCTTCCCCAAGGAGCAACCTTTGCTACAGTGGAGGCCTGGGGACACTTGAGTGACTGTCTTAGTTAGGGTTTCAATTGTCGTGCTGATACACCATGGTTAAACGGAAGTTGGGGAGAAATTGATTTATTTGGCTACTCTTCCACACTGTAGTCTCTCACTGAAGGAAGTCAGGGGAGGAACTCAAACTCGACAGGCACCTGGAGGCAGGAACTGATGCAGAGGCCGTGGAGGGGAGCTTCTGGCTTGCTCCTCATGGCTTGCTCAGCCTTTGATAGAGAACCCAGGGCCATCTGCCCAGAAGTGGCACCACCCACCATAGGCTGGGCCCTCCCCATCAATCACTAATTAAGTAAATACCTTACAGCTGGATCTTATGGAGGCATTTTCTCCTTTGAGGTTCCCTCCTCTCAGATGACTCTCGCTTGTGTCGAGTTGATATAAAAGTAAGCAGGACCCTGTCCCCTGCTTGTGTTCTTCATTCTCAGACTGTTTCTCTGATTGCTTGACAATGTTGGTCTAAAGAAAGATTTTTTTTTTTTAACCAGCATCTCCTGTGTCTCAGGCTGGTCTCAAATGTAGCCAAGTATGACCTTCAGAAACTCCTGATCGTCCTGTCTCCACTTCCTGAGCGCTGGGATTACATGTATGCTTCTTCATGCTGCTTGTGGTTCTGAGGATGGAACCAAGGGCCTTGTATATGCTAGGTAAGCATACTACCACCTGAACCATGTGCCCAGCCTGAGAAAAAGATTCTTTACATGAGAGCCTGGCTCCAGAGGGATAGACACAGCAAAGCCAAGCAGAGAGGTTCAGTTTTTCTGGACCACGTGATAGGCCTTGGAATGACCAAGGGATTGAACTTGTTCCAAGCCAAGCATGAGAGAGGAACAGCCTCTACCAGACACCAGTATTTCCGGGTGTGTGTGTGTGTGTGTGTGTGTGTGTGTGTGTATGAGAGAGAGAGAGAGAGACACTGGACTGATTATTCCCACCTTCCTGGAACGGTAGAAGTAAAGCCAACTTGCTTTTCTACATTGACCTTTGACCTGGATTTGTGGCTCTCTGGGTACAAGCCTGGATGCAGATGGTGAGGTGCCTGCTGCTGGCTGCCCACACCCTGAGCACCCTGAGGCATGGGGCTTGTGGCTCTGGAAAGAGCAGGGACACAGCTTGGGATGAGGGAAACGAGCTGAGTGTGGGAGATGGCACCTTCAGAAGGGGCAGGTTCTGAGATCTCTGGAGGTTCTCTCATCTGGGTTCCTGGGCCAGTGCGCCTGCTGCTGACCCTGCTCAGAAAGCCGTGGGGGAATGGACGATGCACATGAAGAATCTAATCCAGGCTTTCCCTTCACCCTAGGTATTTGGGAGATGAAGAAAAGAAACACTGGGGACCCCTTTCCCAGCCCCTCTTGCTAATCCCACCCTACTGCTGTCTTCTCCGCACGCACCCCTACATTCCTAAAGACACGCAGAATTCTTGAAAGATGAGCGTCCGCTCTGAAGACGTAATCCTGAGAGACTAACGAAAGGAAATGATTTCAAAGAAACCCGGTGTTTCTTCTCCACTGGGTTGATGTACGTTTCCCTAGAATCAGCATCTGCGCGTCATTCTCCTCCATGATCATATCAAGATGACAGCCTCTTTCACTGACATTCACCCTCAAGGTATCCTTGTGGACAAACTGGGAGACCTGGTCACCCAGGAAATGGAAAGAAACATCGGGAGCCCGAGTTGAACTCAGGAGTCTGGACCATGCCTCAGGGTGTTTGCTGTTCCTGACTCATAGCTAAATCATAGTTACTAGGGGACAGTTACAAGGTGCTCATCTGTCCCAGTTTCCCAGCATTTCCTGGGTTAGCCTCTAGGTTTCTAGGACTCCATGGCAGCCCAGGAAAGACCGAGGCCTTCACATCCCACCCTCAGTTCAAGGCAAGTCACCTGAACTTAAAAACATTGTAACATGATGGGCTGGCTTGTTGTGGTTTCTATTCTGCCCGGTTTCCACAACTGTTTAGCACCAAAGAAAATCACACAGTGGCCTCCATAAGCTATAAAGCTGATTGGCCCATTAGCTCAGGTTTCTTATTAGCTCTCATGACTTATATTAACCCATTATTCTGATCTATTTTAGCCATATGGCTCTGATCTTTTTCAGCTGGCAAGTCACATCCCGCTGCTTCGGTGGTCTGGGCAGGAGTGGGAGGAATCAGCTTCCCCTTCCCAGAATTCTCCTGTTCTCCTTGCATCACCTCTACTTCCTGTCTGGTTTTCTTGCCTGTACTTCCTGTCTGGCCAATCAGCGTTTATTAAAAACATGATTGACAGAATACAGACAATTCTCCCGCACCAAAACATAATTAGTAGAGGGACAGCCATAAGATTTGTCTCAAGGACTAGGAACGGGAATACTGGTAATAAACCCTGGCACAGTGCGGGTCGGGCAAAGCCAGCACAGACTCAGACACAGATGAAAGGATGCCCCTGGGATACAGCAAGCTGGACGGACTCCAGGGATCCCTCTCGCAACGTCTCCAGTTGGTCGGATACAACGGTGTTGCTTTATCTCATTTTTATTATAAAATTGCACCCACATTTCCACTTAGAGAATAAGGAAAAGATAAACTTGAATGTCAATCTTCCACCTGTTGCCTACTTCAGAAGGGGAAAACGTAAGCCAAAGAAGAGACATGGATGGCAGTGAGCTCTGTGGCGCTGAGCTCATCCTAATTAAAAATAATGAAGTTGGAGATTTGCAGTGAGAGGGATGTGGCGTGTGTCAGTGGGATGTCTACTCAGCCCTCTGAACTGGAGATGTTGAAGAATCCTAGGCTGCCGGGGAGTTAAAGGAGGGTGCAGCAGAGCTGCAGGGTGCTTGCTTTGTAGGAGGGAAAGCCTGGAGGAGAAGGGCACCTTTGTTTCATCTAGCCATTAAATGTCTATTTCTAGCGTGAGCACAGAGCACAGCCACTAGTTACACGGAGAGGTGCAGAAATTCAACGTGAACAGAGAAAAAAAATGGAGATAAATGCCATGGAGCTCAAACAGTCCGAAGTGAGAAGAGAGGAAAAGATACTATGTAATGAATAAGAACCATAGGGTAAGACAAGGAAGAAAACTTCAGGCACATCCGTTACTACACTAAATGTGAACAAGATAAATTTCCCAAGTGAACTCGAGAGGTTGTCAGATTGGGTTTCAAGAAGAATACAGACTCATGCTTGCCTTTCCAATATCCCTCTAACTGTGCGGAGAAAAGCTGCCAATGACTAAGGGGTAAACAGATAATGAACAAATGAAATTGGGAACATAGTGATGATCATACCAGTGAACTTAGGGGCCATGGCTTTGAACAGCATGCAGTTGAAACTCAGTCTGCCAAGATGGGTCAGTGACCAAGGGCAGATGGACACAGTGACAAGGTGGGAACAAAGACAGGAGGACAACTCCCACTGCAGAAACTAAAGCACCCCGGGATATGAAGCCCCATGCAGTTTGTGCCAACGGGTAAGGGACTTCAGTGAGAAACTAACTAGAACTTAGTGAGCTGTTCCTCGCATCCGTGTGTGAATGACACCATCGTGGGCTTCTCAGGTATCATGGAAAGTACCCAGTGGTAATAGAGGTCCCAGGCAGCTCATTCTGCACGAGGCCCATTCGCCGGCTGACTTGCTCAGGGTGAAGTGCAGAGAGCCACCGTGTTGAAGTCCTGAAGACTGGCAGGAGAGTCCCTAAACTTCAGAGCAATTTCTCCTGCTCATGAGAGAAAGGGCCATCGCTAGCTGTATTCTTAAATAAGTGTGGGGCTCTTTGTCTCCGTAGACGTTACCTGCCTTCATGCATAGTCATGTTTGCGAGTTTTATGTAAATTCAATCCCATTTTCCAGTTGACTAGCTGGCCATTTCTATTTGTTTTTTTTTCTGTTTTGATTGATTCTCCATTGACAGTGGTGCTTACATTCCAGCTCTGTCTCTCCCTAGCCTTTCTACTGGAGCATTAACTATCACTAAACAAGTGATTAGCTCCACTTGGAGACAACGGCTTAAAGCAACAGTGAGCCCTGTGACACACCCTTTGTTAAGTGAAGGCTGCTTCGCTGTCAGCAGTAACCCATAATTTACCTGCTAGGACGCTGTGATGCTGTTCTCTTCTGGAAAGAGCTGCCTTTTTCACTCCTAGCCCTGTGGTTCCAGATCTCATTCCAGACCCCATCCAGGAGACCGAGGCAGTGACAGCGGAGTCATGCGTGGCACCAAGGACCCCAGCAGTGGAGAGCTTGGGACACTCTTTCAGGGCCAGATTGGTATCCAAGCCTGACCTTGGCTTCTAGGAAGAACACGCTGCTTACCACATCATATGCTTGCTGCAACAAACCTTGGGAGAGCAGTGGGCTATGCACACATCACACACTTTCTAGTTAAGCATGAGTCTTGGGAGCTGCAGGTACATTCGGCCATTGCCAGTCTCCAGGGTCAGCAATTTCCAAAGTTTGGCAACTGTCTGCAGATGGCGCCTCATGAACAGGGAATTCTGGTTCACAGAACTGGTACCCCGATGCCATCCACCATGATACTCCTTCACTCCATGCCTACCTTGGGAAAATACCCTATCCCTAGAGACCAGCAGACCCTTAGGGGTTCAGTTCTGGGTTTCTACCTGGATAATAGGCAGTAGCCTCTCTGCTTCCTCCTTTGACCTAACTCGTTCTCAGATTGGGTCATTGACCTCAATCCGGGGTGAGTTAAATGTCTCTGGGAATGGCCTTTTGCATGAGAAAAAAGAGTTCCATCAGAGACTCTGATCCAATTGACCTGAGATCGGAGTTCTTAAAGGTTCCAGGGGACTCTGGTGCTCAGCTATGTCTGAGATTCCCTGGATTCAGGAGAGACCCTGGTCGGTCTCCTGGTGGCTAAAGCTTTGAGTCTCTCCAAACTTTTATAGTCACATCTCTCAGCAATTCCATTAGTTACTTTTCTGGATCCTGTGACACATGCGTACAAAAGCAACTTAGGGAAAGAAGGAAGCATTGATTTTGGTTTGAGAAGGCAGTTGGTTGTGCTGGGGCTGTCCTGGAGCGGGGAGCAGGGACAGCTGGTGTTAGGTGTACGGTCTCTAAGAAGCAGAGAGAGATGACAGCTTAGTACAATTTGGCTTCTTCCCTTCTTCCTTTTCACTCAGTTCCAGATACCAGGGTGCAGTATGGTACCACTCACCTTTGCGGTGGGTTCTTCCTCCTTCAGAGGATTGTCTCCTAGGCGACTCCAGACCTAGTCCAGCTGACGGTGAAGGGTGATCCTTACAGCAATGTCTTTCTCCTTGTTCACAGGCGTGGTGCCATCTGTGTGAGAGTCAGTTTGTAACACACAAGAGAACTCCTTGTAGGACACAGCACTACAGGTGACAACATCACGGAAAGGCCACAGTAGAGACACATGCCAGGCACAGAAGCCAAGAAGAGAGGCTCCTGAGGTGACTGTGGGCAGCAGGGAGTTGACCCTGTGGGGATGGAGATGCCACTGCACAGGCTGCCCAGGAAGGAACACTTCATCTTCTATGTTTGACTTTAATTACCCAGCCTCCTTATCTGGAAGCATATAGAAGCTCAGAGAAGGCAACCAAACCTTCTCTGACAACCTCCAGCCAGGCAGGCAGCATATTTCAACCTGGGGATTCTCCTTCCCAGTGTGGTAACTGGTAAGCTTTACAGCAGATGCCAGATCTAGAAGAAAGGCCTGTCAGTTACTTGCTGAAATCTCAAACTTCCAGAATGCTAAGGTCTCAGCTGTGTCTCTCCAACAAGATGTGAAGTCCTGACCACGGCAGCTCCATCTGCAGTCTCATTTGCAAATGGGTTTGGGGTAGATTTGGAGTAGGGTTCTCTGATCCTTTCATAAGGATGCTGTCCTTCCGGATGGTTCAAGGCTGGGGCTGCCTTAGTTGTCCCTTGGTGTATCCAGGCGACTCTTTACATATCTTGGTAGCCTTTGGTGTCCTTTGGTGACTCTGGATGTCCTTTGTCAACTTTCGGTACTCTGGTGGTATCTATTGGTGACACTTGTGCCCGTTGAAGACCTTTGGCATTCCTTGATGACCTTTAGTGTCCCGAAGCAACCTTTGGTGCCCCTTGGCATCCCTTGACTTCCCTCAGTGACCCCTGGTGGCTCTCGGAAACCCTTGGCTGCAGTACTCACTCTGCTTTGTGTCATCACATGGAATTTCCCTTTTGTGTGTCTCATCTCATCATCCACCATGGACTAGAGCCCCCACTCCACGTCTACTGCAAACCCACCTCCAAAGAAGGCTGCGGTTGCAGATGGAGGTGCTGTGGTCTGGACTTCACATCTTATTGGAGAGACTCAGTTGAGACCTTAGTGTTGGGATTAACGAGGCCTGGCCTTCAGTTGGATGTTGGGACTAATGAGTTCTGGCCTTCAGCTGCTCTTTCCTCCTAGAACTTTCTAATTAAAGTTACTAGAAACTGTGCCTAGTTTAGAGGCTCAGAGGATGGGATTATCACCTGTTGGCCATTGACTGCAGTGCATTTAAGCCTACATGGTGTTAATAAAGGGGACTTTCTGAACCAGCGTTTGGAGGTCTGTGTGTCGGTCTGTCTCTGTATATGTCAGTTTGTCTCTGCATGTGTATTCTCAACCTCCAGCACCTTGCCCGAAGCTTGCGAACTGGGTTCTAGTGCACAGAGCACAGACACGGAGGTGTGGTGTGCGGCACCTTAGCATTCAGGAGGTTTGAGATTTCTGTGAGTAGCTGATGGGCCTTTCTTCTAGATCTGGCATCTGCCATAAAGCTCCCCAGCTACCACCCGGGGAAGGAGACTTCCCAGGGTGAAACATACTGCATGCCTGGCTGGAGGTTGTCAATACCAGTTTCTTCCACCAGAGGCTGAGATCTGAACACCCTGCCTGTATTCTCTGTTCTTAGAGGACACAGATGACCTCTGCCCAGAAAGAGAAACCTTTGGACATTATTCTAGGGCCAATGACAACTTAAAGTCAAGTGTTAGATCCAAGGTCTTTGTGTTCTGTTGTCTCACTCTACTGGCCGGACAGTGCAGGGGGTGGGGGG